CAATAACCAAGCACAGAACAACCCAGAAAGACACACAACAACAAATGACAAACGCAAGTAAAACAGAAAAACGAATATAGCATGATCACACCATACTAATGAAGAAAGCCAAAGGCAAGATCAAAAAGGAAATAACAGCAACTCAAAGACACATAGGAACGTCACACACATCCCCCTAAGCCATAGCAGGAGTAAAAAGAAGCTCTTCGAAACACACGACAAAAGAACACAAAGCAACAGACAGCAATCGCAACCCCATACAAGAAACAATCAAACAAACACACCCAAAGTGAGCCTCATAATAGCAAAACAACAGAAAAAAAAAAAAAGAAAAAATACTACGACAAGTCAGAAAACCCAAACCGCACGAAATAGTAGAAAATCCACCTCAATAACAAGGGGAACACAACCCAGAAAAAAAACACCCGAAAAATAACGAAGTCAGCCTAAAGCAAAGACAGACAATTGTTACGGATGCCAGACAACGCATTGTTAACTCTCACAACACAACACAGAGTGAATTTGCCACCAACACAAATGTGTTCACACTGAAGAAATCACAACAACACAATTGTTTACTCAGCCACAGTACATTCATACTCAGAAGGACAGACACAAGGGTTAACTGAGATGCCAGAATTTTTACTCAGACAACGGTGTATTAAATACTAGGGCCAATGTCATAACCTACCAAGACTCAGACACGCACAACGGCCGTTCATTACGCGGAGCGAGCAGACAACAGCAAGATGGTTTCTCAACACAAAATATTGGCAAAAGCCAGAGCTATGCGCACACGACAAAAGCACGCATGGGCAGATGTGCTCAAAAATTCGTTTACTCAGGAAAGAACATCCGACTAAACCAACAGTCGCTGCTACTTGGGCAACCAAGAGAATTGTTCTCGCAGAAAAACCAAAGGCTACTGAGTCCAAGAAACGCAGACTGACTCACAGGACACATATCTAGTACTCCACAGACACAAATTTTACTAGCACAGACACAAAATTGGTTACTTGCACAGACACAGCATTCGTTACTCGCCGCAGACAGACAAATTTTTACTCAGAGTCCACAGAATTCATACTCAGCCCACAGAAAATGTGTTTACTGATGCCCAAGCAATTGTTACACAGGGACACGACACAAATGTTACTGAGTGCCAACCAGAATTGTTACTCAGGACAGACAGAAGTGTTACTGATGCCAGAGAATTGGTTAACTCAGAGGACAGACAAATTGTTACGAGATGCCAGAGAATTGTTACTCGCACACAACACAAAATTGTTACTTGCACAGACACAGAAAGTTTACTACTACGCACAGACACAGAATTGTTACTCGCACAGACACAGAATTGTTACTCAGAGCCACAGAATTCATACTCAGGACAGACAGAATTGTTACTGAGTCTGCCAGAATTGTTACTCAGGGACACCTAATCGTTGAATTAAAATAGTATGTCAGACAACCCGAGAGGAGTGGCAGAGGAGGCAATGTTTAGGAGCGAGCAAGACGTGGCAGCAGAGAAGGGGTCGAGGCAGCAGTATTCGCAGCCAGAGGCCAGTGCTCCCGGTGTCATCCAGCGGTCGTGTCTCCACCGACAACCCTGCCGTCATTGATTGGTTGGGCTCGGTCGTCTTCCTCTTCCCAGGTCACCTCTGACACCTACAGCCAACGGTCGGTGGGTACGTCAGACACAACCGTTAGTTGGCATGGCCCGGGACCAAGCCCACTGAAATCACGTGTCCTCTACCTGCCCCTGTCCTTTGCTGTTCCCTCACCAAGCGAAGTATCGCATGCTGTGGGCTCAGCCCCACTGTACAGTGAGGAAGAGCTAACAGAGGGCGGTCAGGAACGGGGGGAGACATCGCCTTTTCAGCAGCCAAGCGAACAAGTACTGGCGAGGAGAGTGGCTCGGTAGCCGGTCTAGAGACAGGTCTGTCTCCTGACCCAGACGCAGCCGAGGGGCTAGTAGTGGCGGAGACCCTACTTGATGATGAGGAGGTTGATCGCACTTGGCACTTGACTCACATAGCTGCTGCCAGGCCCCTAATCTGCCAGGGGGCCCCTATATACCCGCAGGCAGATTACGGGCCTCACATAGCTGCTGCCAGGCCCCTAATCTGCCATGGGCCCCTATATACCGCCTCCTCATGCTGCTGCCAAGTCCAGAGTCTGTCATGGGTCCCTGTACGGCCTCCCATTGCTGCTGTCTCCATCGCCACACTCTGCTGCCATGTGCCACTTTCAGGTCTCTTCACACTGCTGGTGTGTTAAATTTTTTGACATAGGGTGCAGGCAGATTACGGGCCTCACATAGCTGCTGCCAGGCCCCTAATCTGCCATGGGCCCCTATATACCCGCCTCCTCATGCTGCTGCCAAGTCCAGAGTCTGTCATGGGTCCCTGTACGGCCTCCCATTGCTGCTGTCTCATCGCCACACTCTGCTGCCATGTGCCACTTTCAGGTCTCTTCACACTGCTGTGTGTGTTAAATTTTTTGATATAGGGTGCAGGCAGATTACGGGCCTCACATAGCTGCTGCCAGGCCCCTAATCTGCCATGGGCCCCTATATACCGCCTCCTCATGCTGCTGCCAAGTCCAGAGTCTGTCATGGTCCCTGTACGGCCTCCCATTGCTGCTGTCTCCATCGCCACACTCTGCTGCCATGTGCCACTTTCAGGTCTCTTCACACTGCTGGTGTGTTAAATTTTTTGACATAGGGTGCAGGCAGATTACGGGCCTCACATATAGCTGCTGCCAGGCCCCTAATCTGCCATGGGCCCCTATATACCCGCCTCCTCATGCTGCTGCCAAGTCCAGAGTCTGTCATGGTCCCTGTACGGCCTCCCATTGCTGCTGTCTCCATCGCCACACTCTGCTGCCATGTGCCACTTTCAGGTCTCTTCACACTGCTGGTGTGTGTTAAATTTTTTGACATAGGGTGCAGGCAGATTACGGGCCTCACATAGCTGCTGCTGCCAGGCCCCTAATCTGCCATGGGCCCCTATATATACCGCCTCCTCATGCTGCTGCCAAGTCCAGTCTAGAGTCTCTCATGGGTCCCTGTACGGCCTCCCATTGCTGCTGTCTCCTCCATCGCCACACACTCTGCTGCCATGTGCCACTTTCAGGTCTCTTCACACTGCTGGTGTGTTAAATTTTTTGACATAGGGTGCAGGCAGATTACGGGCCTCACATAGCTGCTGCCAGGCCCCTAATCTGCCATGGGCCCCTATATATACCGCCTCCTCATGCTGCTGCCAAGTCCAGAGAGTCTGTCATGGGTCCCTGTACGGCCTCCCATTGCTGCTGTCTCCATCGCCACACTCTGCTGCCATGTGCCACTTTCAGGTCTCTTCACACTGCTGGTGTGTTAAATTTTTTGACATAGGGTGCAGGCAGATTACGGGCCTCACATAGCTGCTGCCAGGCCCCTAATCTGCCATGGGCCCCTATATATACCGCCTCCTCATGCTGCTGCCAAGTCAGAGTCTGTCATGGGTCCCTGTACGGCCCTCCCATTGCTGCTGTCTCCATCCATCCACACTCTGCTGCCATGTGCCACTTTCAGGTCTCTTCACACTGCTGGTGTGTTAAATTTTTTGACATAGGGTGTGCAGGCAGATTACGGGCCTCACATAGCTGCTGCCAGGCCCCTAATCTGCCATGGCCCCCCCTATATACCGCCTCCTCATGCTGCTGCCAAGTCCAGAGTCTGTCATGGTCCCTGTACGGCCTCCCATTGCTGCTGTCTCCATCCTCACACTCTGCTGCCATGTGCCACTTTCAGGTCTCTTCACACTGCTGTGTGTGTTAAATTTTTTGACATAGGGTGCAGGCAGATTACGGGCCTCACATAGCTGCTGCCAGGCCCCTAATCTGCCATGGGCCCCCCTATATACCGCCTCCTCATGCTGCTGCCAAGTCCAGAGTCTCTCATGGGTCCCTGTACGGCCTCCCATTGCTGCTGTCTCCATCGCCACACTCTGCTGCCATGTGCCACTTTCAGGTCTCTTCACACTGCTGGTGTGTTAAATTTTTTGACATAGGGTGCAGGCAGATTACGGGCCTCACATAGCTGCTGCCAGGCCCCTAATCTGCCATGGCCCCCCTATATACCCGCCTCCTCATGCTGCTGCCAAGTCCAGAGTCTCTCATGGTCCCTGTACGGCCTCCCATTGCTGCTGTCTCCATCGCCACACACTCTGCTGCCATGTGCCACTTTCAGGTCTCTTCACACTGCTGGTGTGTTAAATTTTTTGACATAGGGTGCAGGCAGATTACGGGCCTCACATAGCTGCTGCCAGGCCCCTAATCTGCCATGGGCCCCTATATACCGCCTCCTCATGCTGCTGCCAAGTCCAGAGTCTGTCATGGGTCCCTGTACGGCCTCCCATTGCTGCTGTCTCCATCGCCACACTCTGCTGCCATGTGCCACTTTCAGGTCTCTTCACACTGCTGGTGTGTTAAATTTTTTGACATAGGGTGCAGGCAGATTACGGGCCTCACATAGCTGCTGCCAGGCCCCTAATCTGCCATGGGCCCCTATATATATATACCGCCTCCTCATGCTGCTGCCAAGTCCAGAGTCTGTCATGGGTCCCTGTACGGCCTCCCATTGCTGCTGTCTCCATCGCCACACTCTGCTGCCATGTGCCACTTTCAGGTCTCTTCACACTGCTGGGTGTGTTAAATTTTTTGACATAGGGTGCTGCAGGCAGATTACGGGCCTCACATAGCTGCTGCCAGGCCCCTAATCTGCCATGGGCCCCTATATACCATACCTCCGCCTCCTGCTGCTGCTGCTGCCAGTCCAGAGTCTCTCATGGTCCCTGTACGGCCCCTCCCATTGCTGCTGTCTCCATCGCCACACTCTGCTGCCATGTGCCACTTTCAGGTCTCTTCACACTGCTGGTGTGTGTTAAATTTTTTGACATGACAGGGTGCAGGCAGATAACGGGCCTCACATAGCTGCTGCCAGGCCCCTAATCTGCCATGGGCCCCTATATACCGCCGCCTCCTCATGCTGCTGCCAAGTCCAGAGTCTCTCATGGGTCCCTGTACGGCCTCCCATTGCTGCTGTCTCCATCGCCACACTCTGCTGCCAGGTGCCACTTTCAGGTCTCTTCACACTGCTGGTGTGTTAAATTTTTTGACATAGGGTGCAGGCAGATTACGGGCCTCACATAGCTGCTGCCAGGCCCCTAATCTGCCATGGGGCCCCTATATATACCGCCTCCTCATGCTGCTGCCAAGTCCAGAGTCTCTCATGGGTCCCTGTACGGCCTCCCATTGCTGCTGTCTCCATCGCCACACTCTGCTGCCATGTGCCACTTTCAGGTCTCTTCACACTGCTGGTGTGTTAAATTTTTTGACATAGGGTGCAGGCAGATTACGGGCCTCACATAGCTGCTGCCAGGCCCCTAATCTGCCATGGGCCCCTATATACCGCCTCCTCATGCTGCTGCTGCCAAGTCCAGAGTCTCTCATGGGTCCCCCTGTACGGCCTCCCATTGCTGCTGTCTCCATCGCCACACTCTGCTGCCATGTGCCACTTTCAGGTCTCTTCACACTGCTGGTGTGTTAAATTTTTTTTGACATAGGGTGCAGGCAGATTACGGGCCTCACATAGCTGCTGCTGCCAGGCCCCTAATCTGCCATGGGCCCCTATATACCGCCGCCTCCTGCTGCTGCTGCCAAGTCCAGAGTCTGTCATGGGTCCCTGTACGGCCTCCCATTGCTGCTGTCTCCATCGCCACACTCTGCTGCCATGTGCCCACTTTCAGGTCTCTTCACACTGCTGTGTGTTAAATTTTTTGACATAGGGTGCTGCAGATACGGGCCTCACATAGCTGCTGCCAGGCCCCTAATCTGCCATGGGCCCCCTATACCGCCTCCTCTGCTGCTGCTGCCAAGTCCAGAGTCTCTCATGGTCCCTGTACGTGCCTCCCATGCTGCTGCTGTCTCCATCGCCACACTCTGCTGCCATGTGCCACTTTCAGGTCTCTTCACACTGCTGGTGTGTTAAATTTTTTGACATAGGGTGCAGGCAGATTACGGGCCTCACATAGCTGCTGCCAGGCCTCTGCCATGGGCCCCTATATACCGCCCTCTGCTGCTGCCAAGTCCAGAGTCTGTCTCATGGGTCCCTGTACGGCCTCCCATTGCTGCTGTCTCCATCGCCACACTCTGCTGCCATGTGCCACTTTCAGGTCTCTTCACACTGCTGGTGTGTTTAAATTTTTTGACATAGGGTGCAGGCAGATATTACGGGCCTCACATAGCTGCTGCCAGGCCCCTAATCTGCCATGGGCCCCTATATACCGCCTCCTCTGCTGCTGCTGCCCAAGTCCAGAGTCTCTCATGGGTCCCTGTACGGCCTCCCATTGCTGCTGTCTCCATCGCCACACTCTGCTGCCATGTGCCACTTTCAGGTCTCTTCACACTGCTGGTGTGTTAAATTTTTTGACATAGGGGTGCAGGCAGATTACGGGCCTCACATAGCTGCTGCCAGGCCCCTAATCTGCCATGGGCCCCTATATACCGCCTCCTCCTCTGCTGCTGCCAAGTCCAGAGTCTGTCATGGGTCCCTGTCCCTGTACGGCCTCCCATTGCTGCTGTCTCCATCGCCACACTCTGCTGCCATGTGCCACTTTCAGGTCTCTTCACACTGCTGGTGTGTTAAAATTTTTTTGACATAGGGTGCAGGCAGATTACGGGCCTCACATAGCTGCTGCCAGGCCCCTAATCTGCCATGGGCCCCTATATACCGCCTCCTCATGCTGCTGCCAAGTCCAGAGTCTGTCATGGTCCCTGTACGGCCTCCCATTGCTGCTGTCTCCATCGCCACACTCTGCTGCCATGTGCCACTTTCAGGTCTCTCACACACTGCTGGTGTGTTAAATTTTTTGACATAGGGTGCAGGCAGATTACGGGCCTCACATAGCTGCTGCCAGGCCCCTAATCTGCCATGGGCCCCTATATATACCGCCTCCTCATGCTGCTGCTGCCAAGTCCAGAGTCTGTCATGGGTCCCCCTGTACGGCCTCCCATTGCTGCTGTCTCCATCGCCACACTCTGCTGCCATGTGCCACTTTCAGGTCTCTTCACACTGCTGGTGTGTTAAATTTTTTGACATAGGGTGCAGGCAGATTACGGGCCTCACATAGCTGCTGCCAGGCCCCTAATCTGCCATGGGCCCCTATATACCGCCTCCCATGCTGCTGCCAAGTCCAGAGTCTCTCATGGGTCCCTGTACGGCCTCCCATTGCTGCTGTCTCCATCGCCACACTCTGCTGCCATGTGCCACTTTCAGGTCTCTTCACACTGCTGGTGTGTTAAATTTTTTGACATAGGGTGCAGGCAGATTACGGGCCTCACATAGCTGCTGCCAGGCCCCTAATCTGCCATGGGCCCCTATATACCGCCTCCTCATGCTGCTGCTGCCAGTCCAGAGTCTCTCATGGGTCCCTGTACGGCCTCCCATTGCTGCTGTCTCCATCGCCACACTCTGCTGCCATGTGCCACTTTCAGGTCTCTTCACACTGCTGGTGTGTTAAATTTTTTGACATAGGTGCTGGCAAGATACGGGCCTCACATAGCTGCTGCCAGGCCCCTAATCTGCCATGGGCCCCCTATACCGCCTCCTCATGCTGCTGCCAAGTCCAGAGTCTGTCATGGGTCCCTGTACGGCCTCCCATTGCTGCTGTCTCCATCGCCACACTCTCTGCCATGTGCCACTTTCAGGTCTCTTCACACTGCTGGTGTGTTAAATTTTTTGACATAGGGTGCAGGCAGATTACGGGCCTCACATAGCTGCTGCCAGGGCCCCTAATCTGCCATGGGCCCCTATATACCGCCTCCTCATGCTGCTGCCAAGTCCAGAGTCTCTCATGGGTCCCTGTACGGCCTCCCATTGCTGCTGTCTCTCCATCGCCACACTGCTGCCATGTGCCACTTTCAGGTCTCCTTCACACTGCTGGTGTGTTGAAATTTTTTGACATAGGGTGCTGGCAGATTACGGGCCTCCCATAGCTGCTGCCAGGCCCCTAATCTGCCATGGGCCCCTATATATACCGCCTCCTCATGCTGCTGCCAAGTCCAGAGTCTGTCATGGGTCCCTGTACGGCCTCCCATTGCTGCTGTCTCCATCGCCACACTCTCTGCCATGTGCCACTTTCAGGTCTCTCACACACTGCTGGTGTGTTGAATTTTTTTTTGACATAGGGTGCTGGCAGATTACGGGCCGGGCCTCCATAGCTGCTGCCAGGCCCCTAATCTGCCATGGGCCCCTATATACCGCCTCCTCATGCTGCTGCCAAGTCCAGAGTCTGTCATGGGTCCCTGTACGGCCTCCCATTGCTGCTGTCTCCATCGCCGCCACACACTCTGCCATGTGCCACTTTTTCAGGTCTCCTCAGGTCTCCTCACACTGCTGGTGTGTTGAATTTTTTTTTGACATAGGGTGCTGGCAGATTACGGGCCTCCCTATAGCTGCTGCCCAGCCCCTAATCTGCCATGGGCCCCTATATACCGCCTCCTCATGCTGCTGCCAAGTCCAGAGTCTGTCATGGGTCCCTGTACGGCCTCCCATTGCTGCTGTCTCCATCGCCACACTCTGCCATGTGCCACTTTCAGGTCTCCTCACACACTGCTGGTGTGTTGAATTTTTTGACATAGGGTGCTGGCAGATTACGGGCCTCCTATAGCTGCTGCCAGGCCCCTAATCTGCCGTAGGCCCCTATATACCGCCTCCCTCCTGCTGCTGCCAGGTCCAGAGTCTCTCATGGGTCCCTGTACGGCCTCTCCCCATTGCTGCTGTCTCCATCGCCACACTCTGCCATGTGCCACTTTCAGGTCTCCTCACACTGCTGGTGTGTTCCATTTTTTGTCATAGGGTGCTGGCAGATTATGGGCCTCCCATAACTGCTGCCAGGCCCCTAATCTGCCATGGGCCCCCTATACCGACCTCCTCATGCTGTGACGTTGCAACAAGGTGGAATTCAACCCTACATATGTTAGACCGCCTTTTACGAACAGCAAAAGGCCATCACAGATTTCCTGATGTTAAAAGCAGATAAAGGTACTCCCTGTGTAACTTAGATGTCAGCCATTGGCAGCTCATGCGTGACACCTGCCTTGCTCAGGCCCTTTGAGGAGGCCACGCTATTCGTGAGTCGGCAGGACTATGGGATGAACGACGTCATTCCTCTGTTGCACGTCCTGGAACAAATGCTGTTAACAATGGCTGGTCAGGGTGCGGTAGACGTGGCGCACAGATCTCAACGCCACATGGCCCCTGTGGGGGCAGGACTGGAAGAAGAAGAGGAGGAGGTAGAGGAGGACATTGGTGCTCAGGAATTATTGAGTGAAATGGGTGGGTTTTTCCACTCAGCGGACAGGAGTGGAGGAGCAGGAGCATCTGGTAGAGGAGGAGGAAGAGGAGACAGAGGACCTAGACGCACCGTGGCAGTATGCTGTGGAGATGGAGGCAGGGAGTCCCTCGCATTCCTTGGCACAAATGGCCCATAGCATGCTCGGTTGCTTGCGTAGCGACAGCCGAATAATAACCATCAGACAGAGGGATGACTTTTGGCTGTCCACCTTGTTGGACCCTCGCTACCGTTCAAAAATGGTGGCCTTTTTCACACCTGCTGAGAGGGAGGGCCAAAATAACGTACTATAAAAAACACCTATGTAGTCAGCTGGTCTCTGCCTGTCTGCGCCAACGTCCATCCTCAGACACTGTGGGCCCTGTGCGCTCGTGTTCCGCTGCCATGGCAGCAGGGGAGGGGGGGGGGGGTGGTAGGAGCAGTGGCAGCTCCACCAGCAGCGGCTGCCTCAGTCTGCAGTCGATGATGAGTAGCTTTCTTCACCAGCGCAGTGAGGAGGAAAACTAACTAACCAGCAGCAGCAGCAGCAGCAGCATCAGGTGGACCTGGAGCAGGACCTCAAACAACAGGCTTAGGCCTACTTGGACAGCACCCTGCCAACCGAGGTAGACAATCCCCTTGACTACTGGGCAACGAAACTTGACCTTTGGCCCCAACTAGCTGAATTTGCCCTTGAAAGGCTGTCATGCCCGGCCAGTAGCGTGGCATCGGAGCGCGTGTTTAGTGCGGCAGGAGGTATTGCAACTCCGCGGAGGACACGACTGTCCACCCAAAGTGTGGAGAGACTCACGTTTGTGAAAATGAATCAGGCGTGGATTAGTCTGGATTTCAAACCACCATTTCCTGACACAACTGACTAAATCCGCCATGAATCATGCCCCAAACATGTGCCACTTTCAGGTCTCCTCACACTGCTGGTGTGTTCCATTTTTTGTCATAGGGTGCTGGCAGATTACGGGCCTCCCATAGCTGCTGCCAGGCCCCTAATCTGCCATGGGCCCCTATACCGCCTCCTCATGCTGCTGCCAAGTCCAGAGTCTCTCATGGGTCCCTGTACGGCCTCCCATTGCTGCTGCCTCCATCGCCACACTCTGCCATGTGCCACTTTCAGGTCTCCTCACACTGCTGGTGTGTTCCATTTTTTGTCATAGGGTGCTGGCAGATTACGGGCCTCCCATAGCTGCTGCCAGGCCCCTAATCTGCCATGGGCCCCTATACCGCCTCCTCATGCTGCTGCCAGGTCCAGAGTCTCTCATGGGTCCCTGTACGGCCTCCCATTGCTGCTGTCTCCCATCGCCACACTCTGCCATGTGCCACTTTCAGGTCTCCTCACACTGCTGTGTGTTCCATTTTTTGTCATAGGGTGCTGGCAGATTACGGGCCTCCCATAGCTGCTGCCAGGCCCGTAATCTGCCATGGGCCCCCGTACCGACTCCTCATGCTGCTGCCAGGCCCGTAATCTGTCATGGGCCACTGTTGTCGCTTGTTGGCATATTCCGCTCGTTCAGATGCTCCTTCTCCTGCTACTCCTCTTCACGGATTCCGTCAGCAGTCTTTCTTGGAATCCGTTTCCAAGAGACAACAGTTTGCGAGCACGCACCCGACGGTGCAGAAGCTGAACGTCCTCCTGTCCAAGTTGCTGCTGCCAGGCTCGTAATCTGTCATGCGCCCCTGTACCGCCTCCTCATGGAGTGTGTCATGGGCCCCCGTACCGACTCCTCATGCTGCTGCCAGGCCCGTAATCTGTCATGGGCCCCTGTACCCGCCTCCCCATGCTGCTGCCAGGTCCAGAGTGTGTCATGGTCCCTGTCAGACTCCAAGGGCATTTAAATTAAAGGTACAGTGTTCTGCACTAATATTAAGTCTCTCTGAAGCCTAGAAACACCCTTTTTTAAGTTAAATCACACAGCGAATTTATTCGACTCGAAATCGAACTAATTGTCGCACGAATTCGCCGAATACAGTCGAATCGAATTTTTCATCTTCTTTCGCATCATCTCTAGTCAATCACATGAACATTTCTTCTAAGGCGTTTGCCATTTACTTCTTAGTACTAGAGATAGCTAAGTACTCCTTGCTCCACCTATTCCAAAAACTGCTCTGATAGATATTGAACTCTTCGCCATCTTTCCTTGCGTATAAATCCTCTTTGTGAAGGCAGGGATGGTGGCAGTATGTAATCGACTTAAGGTGAAGTAGATGGTTGGGAGTTTAAAGTTCCAAACTTGCTGGGTCGTTGATCGTGTTGACTGTAAGTGGAACCGACTGTTAACATTAGACATTAACTTCTAAATAGTGTCCTAAGTGAAGCATCATCTAATCTTCGGTGTCTATTTCAAAAACCAACCATACGTTTCTTACAGTTCTGATTTCCCTCCCGACTCCCCGATGGCTTGCATGGGACATTCATGTAAAAACACACTGTTTTCTCTAACAAGTACCAGTTTTCTTTTTTTTACAATCCTTTTAGAGCCTTGTTCAATTTTTTCTTTGTCCAAAAAAAATTAATCCCGGGGCAAAACTAAGTTCTCTGACAGACCCCCTAATGGCTATGAAAAAAACTTAAGGCGTTGATAAAGGCTCGGTTGACATATCTTCCAACATTTTCCCGTGAATTGCTCTGGGGCTTAGACACGTAAATATCAGTCCGTATTTTGTACCCTTGCGGTTTTTTTGGTGATAAGTGGGCCGAAAACAATCCATTCCCTTAAAGAAATGGTGGTGAGGGGTTTAACCAAAACCCTCATGGTAATCACCTTCTTTTTTCTTCTGTAGGTTTCGGCCCTTTTTACGATTACACATTTGCTTATTACTTCGCTATAACTTTTCTTCCTTTTATATCCCGTAACCACCTTCTCTCAAAAAGCTTTTAGAAAGCTTTTTCCTTGATCAAGATTTGTTGTGGAGTGATTGATAATCAATCTTGTGAAGGTAAATTTTTGGGGAGAAATTTTGGGTCTTCTCGTTTTGTACGATGCTTTTCCACCTCCCCCCCCACCTACTATACCATCCTGCAGAATAAGATTAAGCTTTTACAATGGTGGTTTTTTTGGAAGTTCCCTTTTTTTCTTTACTAAGTTCTTCAATTTATCACTGAGAA